TGTTCTTCCAAGGTTCAGCAATAAAGTTAAATGAGGAACAATTTCTTTCTGTCCATTACATTAAATTACTCAGTCCATTCTCCTCTCTTCTGTTCAGTTAGCTGCTAAGGGACCCACATTAGTGTTTTATGGCTTTTAAGGGAATGAGTTCGGCTTCCAACTGCAGGAGATCTACTGGATATGGACATTATTTATTCATTGTTTGAACCTTGCAACGATTTCTTCTTCTTCTTCATTGTACTTTAACAGACTTCCGAAGGATCCAGCTTTACATTTTCCAGAATTTGAAAATGTAAATGATTTGTAGATTTGGGATTATTACCGACTATTCCAATGAGAAACCACAAGAGGGCTTGGGGTAAAACATTTCGTGCGGATTTCTTGGTTACAAAAGATCAGTGATAACTCCTATGAATATTACATCACACTGACAAGAAATCTCACTTTCACATACTGTTACATTTATAGACATACTGCTCTCGGTTGCTCAGTTTCTTTAACTGTATATCATGGCATCTGCGACGTTGTGCTGTAATACTGGGGGTTTCTCTCATACGTCATATTACAAGATTCCCCAACGACGCTTAAAGTGAAAAACCCTTAACGTCACAATCTGTAGTGATAAACCTACCCAATATCTGTTCTGTTAATAACCCTCTGTCGATCTGACTATTCTGACAGGGATACAATAATGTGAAAGTATAATCTGTAGTTTTCACGAAAGCCGTCAAAATTTTGCTGGATGACTTTCGCTGACAAATAATTATAAGTCATTTACATATACTACAGACTACATATAGTACAAACAAAAACGGGTTGATAATCTGTGAAGTTACATTTTAACAGACAATTTAGTGCTACACATTTTTATATGTAGAGATTAATGTTAACTAATTGTAATAAATCAATCCACTGGAGGTAAGTTGAAAAGAAACCAAGTGCAACTTTAATTCCAAAACATATTCAAACATAAAGCAAAGGCATGACGAGGCATGAAAACTCGAAGCTAAAACTGGAACACAAACATAGACTAGAATACAGGACTATAGGAACTAGGAACTGGAACAATCACAACGTTACTGAAACATTCAAATACACAGAGCAAAAATGAGGGCTAAATTGTCCGAAGACACAGGCGCAGACGCAGGTGTAGAGGCGGCCATCTTGTCTGAACACACAGGCGCAGACGCAGGTGTAGAGGCGGCCATCTTGTCTGAACACACAGGCGCACACGCTGGTGTAGAGGCGGCCATCTTGTCTGAACACACAGGCGCAGACGCAGGTGTAGAGGCGGCCATCTTGTCCGAAGACACAGACGCAGATGTGGAGGCGGCGGTCTTGTCCGAAGACACAGGCGCAGACGCAGGTATAGAGGCGGCCATCTTGTCCGAAGATACAGGCGCAGACGCAGATGTAAAGGCGGCCATCTTGTCCGAAGACACAGGCGCAGACGCAGGTGTAAAGGCGGCCATCTTGTCCAAAGACACAGGCTTTGGACAAGACGGCCGTCTTGTCCGAAGACACAGGCGCAGACGCAGGTGTAGAGGCGGCCATCTTGTCCGAAGACACAGGCGCAGACGCAGGTGTAGAGGCGGCCATCTTGTCCAAAGACACAGGCACAGACGCAGGTGTAAAGACGGCCGTCTTTTCCGAAGACACAGGCGCAGACGCAGGTGTAGAGGCGGCCATCTTGTCCGAAGACACAGGCGCAGACGCAGGTGTAGAGGCGGCCATCTTGTCCGAAGACACAGGCGCAGACACAGGTGTGGAGGCGGCCATTTTGTCCGAAGACACAGGCGCAGACGCAGGTGTAGAGGCGGCCATCTTGTCCGAAGACACTGGCGCAGACGCAGGTGTAGAGGCGGCCATCTTGTCCAAAGACACAGGCGCAGACGCAGGTGTAGAGGCGGCCATCTTGTCCGAAGACACAGGCACAGACGCAGGTGTGGAGGCGGCCATTTTGTCCGAAGACGCAGACACAGGTGTAGAGGCGGCCATCTTGTCCGAAGACACTGGCGCAGACGCAGGTGTAGAGGCGGCCATCTTGTCCGAAGACACAGGCGCAGACGCAGGTGTGGAGGCGGCCATTTTGTCCGAAGACACAGGCGCAGACGCAGGTGTAGAGGCGGCCATCTTGTCCGAAGACACAGGCGCAGACGCAGGTGTAGAGGCGGCCATCTTGTCTGAAGACACAGACGCAGGTATAGAGGCGGCCATCTTGTCCGAAGACACAGGCGCAGACGCAGGTGTAGAGGCGGCCATTTTGTCCGAAGACACAGGCGCAGACGCAGGTGTAGAGGCGGCCATCTTGTCCGAAGACACAGGCGCAGACGCAGGTATAGAGGCGGCCATCTTGTCCGAAGACACAGGCGCAGACGCAGGTGTAGAGGCGGCCATCTTGTCCGAAGACACAGGCGCAGACGCAGGTGTAGAGGGGGCCATCTTGTCCGAAGACACAGGCGCAGACCATAGACAGTATAAGAAGTGCACAGAGCCATCTCATTGGAACTCAGTTGAGACAGTTGAAGCCCATTTTTAGCGATTTTTAAGCACTTCCGTTCCTGACGCGCAGACTCAGACCGACTCAAACTAAGCTTGATGACGTGAGCAACCTGTCTGACAGACGTTAATCTTCTAGTAGCTGTGCGTGAAAATCGCCAACGTTAATCTTGCAGAGACGGGGAACTTGAGCAAAGAGTTCTTTATCGTGAGTGAGCAGGAATAAGTATTCCGTTGCTTTTATGGACTCATTATCTATGGGCTTCTCCCTTGACGGGACGTCCCCCCGATTGCCTGCGAGCTTCTCCTCCTGTCTGTACGGTCATTTCTGTACAGCGCGACAGAGAGTCGAGTGGTTATGACGCAATCGTTAGCCTATTTTTACAAAATCTGTTTCTACGGGGCCATAATGTAACACAGAAGGTAATGGAGCTCTGTATACATTGTCGTGTTTGTTTAGAAATAAATAATGGACAAATGGAGTCTTAAAACGCCTCAGATGTAAAGTTATTCGCTGTCAAAGTGACGCCAAAATGAATGGGAGTCAATGGAAATGCTAACGCAAGTGAAGTTCTGCTACAAGATGGCGGCACCCGGCCGGCTTCAACTTCCGGTCGATGGATTACCCCCTTGGCGCAGACGCAGGTGTAGAGGCGGCCATCTTGTCTGAAGACACAGGCGCAGACGCAGATGTAGAGGCGGCCATCTTGTCCGAAGACACATGCGTAGACTCCAAAGACTGGAAGAGGTGTTAGTGAGGCCAGCAGGGGGCGCTCACCCGTGGTCTGTGTGGGTCCTAACGCCCCAGTGTAGTGACGGGGACACTATTCTGTCAAAGAGCACCGTCCTTCGGATGAGACGTTAAGCCGAGGCCCTGACTCTCTGTGGTCATTAAAAATCCCAGGATGTCCTTCAAAAAAGAGTAGGGGTGTAACCCCGGCATCCTGGCCAAATTTGCCCCTTGGCCTCTGTCCATCATGGCCTCCTAATCATCCCCATATACTGATTGGCTTCATCACTGTCTCCTCTCCACCAGTAAGCCGGTGTGTGGTGGGCGTTCTGGCGCAATATGGCTGCCGTCGCATCATCCAGGTGGATGCTGCACATTGGTGGTGGTTGAGGAGATTCCCCCCTTCCATGTAAAGCGCTTTGAGTGCCTAGAAAAGCGATATATCAAGCTCAGGCTGAGGGGATACTGTGTGCTTGTGGGGCTCCTCATCTGCAAAGCCCACAGTAAACGACGAGCCGCTCAACAAAAGCGCAATGTTCATATACTAGGGGTATTGGCAGGCAGGAGATAATAAATACGCTCGTCCGAAACATATCCTTCAAAACACCATCCCCAAAATCCACCCCATGGCCAAGCCAACAAAACTCCTCGACATACTCTTCCATTGGACAGCTATCTGGGCAGAGGCGGAACTTGGACGAGTATTCTGTAATGAATCAATCCACCGGAGGTGAGTTGAAAAGAACCCAAGTGCAACTTTAATTCCCAAACATTATCAAACCTAAAGCAAAGGCATGACGAGGCATGAAAACTCGAAACTGGAACACAAACATAGACTAGAATACAGGACTGGAGATTTAAAAATGTTGCTTTCCCCTTGTTGTTAATTAATTTCATGAAAAGAGACACCAGTGATTTTTGCCAAGAGATTTTTATAAGACATAGGAGGAAGAGACTATAGACAAACAGAGGTCTTCATTCAGCATCGCTGCCATCTCTTCCTGCTTTCCGGACAAAAGGGCTCAGTCTTTATACTACTGACCAAGAAAAAACTACATCACCATAGTAACACATACATTACCAGAAACATGTGGTTCCCATTAACAATGGAATGTATATCCAATCCCAGTGGAAACTATACACTGCATTAGGGCTGAACGATATTCTGTTTTAGCATCGACATCGCGATGTGCCCATGCGCGATAGTCACATCGTCGGAACATGCGATGTGAAGAAGGGTAGCACCCGGACGTATTAAGAGAACGGTAGCACACAGTAAACACGAGTTTGTTGTATGGCTTGTTGCTGGGGTGACATGCACGTTCCGCATGCCTGCACAGTGATTGGTTCGCTCGCTCTGCTGCTGCTCACCGGCACCGCTCACAGCCAACATTATCTGGCAATCCTGTAGCTAAAAATGAGCGACGAAGAGAATCCGCCGCAAACAAAGGATGATTTTGTACCAAAAAGAAAATCAAAATCAGCTATTTGGGACTATTTCGGCTACAAAAAGGAGGATGTTGACCAAAAACAGGTAATTTGCCTGGAGTGTTATAAAGTTGTGGCCACAAAACATGGAAACACCACCAATTTGTCTGATCACTTAAAACGGCACCACAAAGCTCTTTACGACGAATACAAAGTCAAATCTGGATGTGAACCAAAACAAAAAACTATTTGCGATGCTTTTGCCAGTGTGACACCTTACCAGAAAGGCTCTCAACGACATAAAGAAATAACAGACGCAATAACGTTTCATATAGCTAAAGATATGTTGCCATTAAACACCGTCACCAAAGAAGGATTTAAGAAAATGATCCGAACGCTTGACAGGAGGTATGTTATACCATCCCGCACGCATTTTTCCCAAGTTGCGATAAAAGAGCTGTATGAAAAATGCAAATCTAAGATTGAAGCAGAGCTGCTGTCACACGTGGAATATTATGCAGCTACAACAGACTTGTGGTCCAGCAGGACAACGGAGCCCTACATGAGTCTGACCGTCCATTTCGTCACAGAGGACTTTGAGATAAAAAGCCGCTGTTTGCAGACGGCATTTTTCCCGGAGAGTCATACAGCCGAGAATATCGGAGAGGCCTTGAGAGAAGCGGTGGCGGCTTGGGGCTTAGATGAGACACGTCAAGTCTGTATAACAACAGATAATGCAGCGAACATGGTGAAAGCTGCCGATCTGAACAAGTGGACCAGGCTACAGTGCTTCGGCCACAGACTGCATCTTGCAGTTGGTGAGTAATGACCATGATCCTTATCCTAAATATAAATTTTTACTCAGCTGTTTTACTTAATAACCTGTCTTGAACCTGACAAAAACTTGTAAAATAAATGTGTTGCATTTTGTAAAGCTTTAAAACGTAAGAAAAAAAGAAAAGAAACTAAACATTTAATTTTAAACAACTTATTTAATCAGTGGCAAAAAAAAAAAATATATGTCCACATTTATTGTTAAAAAATAAAATAGTGTGCTTCAATAATTAAAGTTTGCAATGTTTTGTTTGTTTTCTCCGCTTAGAAAATGCAGTGAAAAAGGATGGTCGCATTGATCGTGCTGTAGGAGTCTGCAAGAAGCTGGTGAGCCACTTCTCTCACAGCTGGAAGGCCAGCGATGCCCTGGCAAAAGTCCAGAAGGAACTCAATCTACCATCACATTGTCTCATCTCAGAATGCCAAACAAGATGGGGTTCCAGACAGATGATGATCAGCAGGATATTAGAGCAGCAGCAGGCTTTAACTCAGGTCCTGTCTGCAGACAAGAAGGTGCGGCATCTAATTCCAACCTGGCAAGATATAGATGTCCTGGAATCAGTTAGCAAGTCACTGGGCCCACTGCTGGATTTCACTGATGCACTTTCAGGGGATGAATACGTCAGTGTCTCCTTTGTAAAGCCAGTTCTTCAGCTCTTCAACACTTCACTACTGGAGATGCAAGAGGAAGACACAGACCTGACCAAGAACATAAAGAAGAAGATACTGGACTACCTCAACGAGAAATACGAAGATGATGATACTCAGAAGCTGCTAGATATGGCATCTTTTTTGGACCCCCGGTTCAAGATGGACTTCATCAGTGCAGACAAGAAGACCCAAGTTAAGGCCAGAGTGGCATCACAGATGATGGAATGCCAGGAGAAATCAAGCTGCAGCACTGACGTGGAGCCTAGTGCCAGTGCCAGTGCCAGTGCACCCCAGGCAAAAAAAGCAAAGAAGTCCTTGGGAAGCTTCTTTAAACAGAGTGAAACTGTTGCAAAGGGTGATTCCTCTCTGACCCTAAAGGATGCTGTGGAAGCAGAGTTAAACACCTACATGCTAACACCTCCAATAGACAAAGAGGAGGATCCACTTGCATGGTGGAAAGTACACAAACTAAGCTTTCCTCGACTCGCCAGACTTGCCCGCAAATACTTGTGTATTCCTGCGACAAGCTCGCCGTCAGAGAGACTTTTCAGTACTAGTGGCAACATCGTCACTTGCCAACGAACCTGTCTCAAGCCTGCAAAGGTTGATAGACTTGTGTTCTTAGCTAAAAACCTTGAGTAAGCAAAGCATACAGAATACATAAGCATGCATCATGCTAAAGAATACTCAGTTTAGGAGAAGTTTTATTTCATTTTGTTTATTTCATATATTTAGCCATTATAATGATGACCAACACTCTTTTGCTAAGAAAAGTTGACTTAAAAAAGATTGTGAACCAAAATGCTTAAGTTGTTTTATAAAAAAATATTTATTTTAAGTTATATATTTATTTTAATTTATATATATTTTTTAACCAATCAGGGGGTTGGTGTAAAGCTGCTGTTTAAATGTGTTCTGCTTTTCTGTTTACAGAAACATGTTCTAATACTCTGTTTAGAAGATTTAATACAAAATGTATTAAAGTTTTATTTCATTTTGTTTATTTCATATATTTAGCCATTATGATGATGATGACCAACACTGTTTTACTTTGGCTAAGAAAAGTTGACTTAAAAACAAAAGATTGTGAACCAAGATGCTTATAAGTTGTTTTATAAAAAAAACACAGTTATTTTCAGTTATATTTTTGTAAACCAATCAGAGGGTTGGTGGTGTAAAGCTGCTTTTTTATTTAAAAATCTGTTCTGCTTTTCTGTTTACAGAAATATATTCTAATTTTGGAATAAAACATAAGTGACCTTTTTGTCAGCTTGCTTATTAGTGAATTTATTAATATCATTGGAATGGTAATTATTGACTTTAGCCTGGATTGATGGCTTGCAATATCGCAATATATATCGTTAGGAAATAAATATCGCAATGTAATTTTTTTTTCAATATCGTGCAGCCCTACACTGCATATACTTTCAGTCTCACTCCAACACATTCTCTCATGCAGTCTAACTTATCACAAAGTCTCCTAAAGTCTCTCTCTCCCACATCTTCAAAACAATATGATTCACAAATGCAATGATTACAAATGATTATGAATGTATACAAAAAGTAATAAAACAGACACATAATACTTCTGATTATGATATTAATAAAAAGTAATAATAGTACTAAAAACAACATTCAATTATGAGATTTTCAATCTTCAAGGACTAAAGGAACTAGGACATGGAACAATCACAACGTTACTGGAACATTCAATACTCGCCAAATACACAGGACAAACATGAGGGCTAAATACACAAAAGACTAATGACAAGACAAGGGACACCTGTGAACAATTAAACAATGACAACATGACACCACAGACAAGGGAACACATGGCAGGATCACATGACAGGCAAGAACAAGAAACAAAACCCACAACGTGACACTAATGACAATTAATTTATTAATCATTAGGTTCATTTAAATAATTAGTTATGGAACCTGAAAAAAAAGAAAGAAAAAGCTTTCAATATGAATGAATCAAAATAGTAAAAATATTAAATAGCCCTTTTGTGCTTGTTGAAATCTTGCACAGACCATCCACCTATTGTTATGTGCATTTTGGGATGTTACATTAAAAAAAACTGCTGGATGGAAATGCCAAGATGCGCATGAAAAAGTTTGAGTCGGAACATGTAAAACTCGAACCGCTGGACTGTAGTGCAATGACAGAGGGAGAATAGAGATAAATCAGAGAAAGCACATGCCCAGGTGGTGCATGCATTGGATGTAAACTATGAAAACAGTCACGGCACTCTAAACAAAAAATTGTAGAGGACAAAAACCAGAATACACGCAGCAAAGGGAGCAACCCTACCTAACCAAATAGACAATCGTGAGGTAGCTTTCCTTACTCTATTCTAAGGCGGGTTTAAAATGTCAGCGAGTACCTGCAAAAAGACCTGTCACAAGCACACGAGCTCCTTACATCACTGAGAGATCTCATCTCAGGTCTTCATTATCAGCAATGGCAGAAGAAAGACTTAATCATCTGACACGCATATCAATCGAAAGTGACAAACTGAGGGAGTTGAACTTTTCCGACATCCTGAAACAGCCAAAAGAAAACCTTTGTAAAGCAGTCCCCATGATATGATACATTTTTCAGCATTATATAAAATGTTCATATTTTATCTGTAAAACATAAGGCTGATTTGATAGGAAGATAGAGCCGATGTAGGCAGTAGTTCTAAACAGCCTGTGCAAAATATGTAGTTCGGACTATGTGTGTAGTTTCTGCAGTGATTTGAAGAAGATTGAGTGAATGAAGGCAGTAGTTCTGTTCTCATTCTAATTATTAGCTGCATTATTGTATGAGTATAATGTAATGCACATGCAATTGAGCAACATCCAAAACTTTCCAATTGCTGGCAACAGTAGAAAGGTTACTTTCATTATCGAGAATCCCGGTGAAGGTAAACTGTGAAATCCGATTCTTTCCTTGTAGTATAATTTCTCATATATTCAGCGCTAGCTAACAGATGTGTATCGACAGAAACAGCAGAACCTTCAGCGCTGCCAAAAGAGACAATCGTCTACTCACACCATCACTTTATTTGTGTTGTCATGAGAGAAAATCCTGAAAATTGACACTTGCTGCAGTGAGCATCTGTTTTTGCCATCTGCACAGCACCAACAAAACCCAACAATGAATATTCACCCTTGACTTAACCACAGATGTGTTTTCTTTAGCTTCAACACACTTCACTAACCAGGGACCATCAAAAAATACAAAGCAAAACAAAAAACATCTAGGACAGGGGAAACATTTTAATTTTTATGTCACTCACAGCAGGTCTGTTTAATGAATGCTCAGCCAGTTTAAAACAATCAATGATATCAAAACAGCGACAGATTACTTCATTCCGAGTTAAATTTAGTGTTTTTTAGTGCAAATTCAATGGATTTTTCACTGTTTATCAACGACTGTGTAATGTTACTCGGTCTGAAAAATACCTCTTCATTAATCATTTATGACATCTATGTCAATGGGGCTTTTTTTAAGCAGGATGAGTCAGACTGGGTTTACCCCAAAAACAATTAATCAAATCTGTTTGAATGAGTGTAAAAGAAGTAAACAAAGTATGTATGACATTTGCAAATGAAAGGTCCAGAAATCTTACACTTTCAAATGGTGAGAAGGAAAATATTGCGCAGAAGAACAATCAATGATCCCACAAGCATTGGTGTGCTACCGTGGCCAAAACTATTGTCAGTGACATTAATTTTGTTTTGCAAAGTTTGCTGCTTAAGTTGTAGTGTTGATTCAGAGTTTTTTTCTTGATTATTGTGCAAAAAGCTTCACTGGCCAAAAAAATAAATAACTTTCTCACAAAAACCCCTATTTTCAATGTTTTTTTGGCCCTGGCACAAAATGACAAGCTAATTTACACTGAACAAAATTAGGAATGCAACACTTTTGTTTTTGCCCCCATTTTTCATGAGCTGAACTCAAAGATCTAAGACCTTTTCTATGTACAAAAAAGGCCTATTTCTCTCAAATATTGTTCACAAATCTGTCTAAATCTGTGTTAGTGAGCACTTCTCCTTTGCCGAGATAATCCATCCACCTCACAGGTGTGGCATATCAAGATGCGGATTAGACAGCATGATTATTGCACAGGTGTGCCTTAGGCTGGCCACAATAAAAGGCCACTCTAAAATGTGCAGTTTTATCACAAACCACAATGCCACAGATGTCGCAAGTTTTGAGGGAGCGTGCAATTGGCGTGCTGACTGCAGGAATGTCCACCAGAGTTGTTGCCCGTGAATTGAATGTTCATTTCTCTACCATAAGCCGTCTCCAAAGGTGTTTCAGAGAATTTGGCAGTACATCCAACCGGCCTCACAACCGCAGACCACGTGCAACCACACCAGCCCAGGACCTCCACATCCAGCATCTTCACCTCCAAGATCGTCTGAAACCAGCCACCCGGACACAAGATCGTCTGAGACCAGCCGCCCGGACACAAGATCGTCTGAGACCAGCCGCCCGGACACAAGATCGTCTGAGACCAGCCGCCCGGACACAAGATCGTCTGAGACCAGCCGCCCGGACACAAGATCGTCTGAGACAAGCCGCCCGGATACAAGATCGTCTGAGACCAGCCGCCCGGACACAAGATCGTCTGAGACGAGCCGCCCGGACACAAGATCGTCTGAGACCAGCCGCCCGAACACAAGATCGTCTGAGACGAGCCGCCCGGACACAAGATCGTCTGAGACGAGCCGCCCGGACACAAGATCGTCTGAGACGAGCCGCCCGGACACAAGATCGTCTGAGACCAGCCGCCCGGACACAAGATCGTCTGAGACCAGTCACCCGGACACAAGATCGCCTGAGACCAGTCGCCCGGACACAAGATCGTCTGAGACCAGTCGCCCGGACACAAGATCGTCTGAGACCAGCCGCCCGGACACAAGATCGTCTGAGACCAGTCACCCGGACACAAGATCGTCTGAGACCAGTCACCCGGACACAAGATCTTCTGAGACCAGCCGCCCGGACACAAGATCTTCTGAGACCAGCCACCCGGACACAAGATCGTCTGAGACCAGCCCCCCGGACACAAGATCGCCTGAGACCAGCCACCCGGACACAAGATCGTCTGAGACCAGCCACCCGGACACAAGATCGTCTGAGACCAGCCGCCCGGACACAAGATCGTCTGAGACCAGTCACCCGGACACAAGATCGTCTGAGACCAGCCGCCCGGACACAAGATCGTCTGAGACCAGTCACCCGGACACAAGATCGTCTGAGACCAGTCACCCGGACACAAGATCGTCTGAGACCGGCCGCCCGGACACAAGATCGTCTGAGACCAGCCGCCCGGACACAAGATCGTCTGAGACCAGCCCCCCGGACACAAGATCGCCTGAGACCAGCCGCCCGGACACAAGATCGTCTGAGACCAGCCGCCCGGACACAAGATCGCCTGAGACCAGCCCCCCGGACACAAGATCGTCTGAGACCAGCCACCCGGACACAAGATCGTCTGAGACCAGTCACCCGGACACAAGATCGTCTGAGACCAGTCACCCGGACACAAGATCGTCTGAGACCGGCCGCCCGGACACAAGATCGTCTGAGACCAGCCGCCCGGACACAAGATCGTCTGAGACCAGCCCCCCGGACACAA